AAAAGAATTGAAGGGATAACCCATGGAGTTACCAGAATGTGCAGTAAACCCTTACCGAGCATGGAGGTTATGTCATTAATACATCACACGTATTGCAAAATTACATTCTGCAAAGTTAACTTTCTCTCTCTCTCTCTCTCTCTCTATATATATATATATAAAAGGGGGGCAAGTTCAGCTTAAGAAAGTATATTTAATTTATACAAACCTAAATATTCATAAAAGGGAAAAATGAAACAAATGTTAGGTGAAAGGATTTCTGTTATTGCTTATTAAGTATGTACATGATACAGTTCTTTTTTAAATAGCTGGTCATTTTTGCTTGAGGTCATTGTTGCTTTATCCAATGCAACTCATCAAAATTTCATGGCAAGGAGTGCAAAGTTTTTCAAGCGTGTTTTCCTATCTTCATTTGGGTCAATCTCCATTACAAAATCAGACAGTTCTTACGCTATAACATTTGGTTTAATTTCTTTCACATCAAAGGCTCTTTCTTCATCTTTTTCACTATCACAACTTTTACCATTTGCTGGTGTTATTAAGGTTATCTAAGTCGTCATTTGCAATTTCATGATCGCCATTCTGGACTAATTCTTTGATTTCTCCATCTTCCATATCTGAAAATCCTTCAGTGACTATTGCTTTTGCAATCTGCATGATTTCTTTGCCTTCGTTTTCAATCGATAGAAATCTTTCAGGGTGGAGGCAACTTCTGGTCAGAGCTGATACCAGAAAGTATTCATTGTTATCATACGAATTCACTTATTGCCATGTGAGTTTAATCATTTCTATGCATCTATGCAGTGTCTTATGTTGAAATCCTTTTAAAATGCCATTAGTGCCTTGTGCTTTTCTTCATCTAGGGATTTATTTGCAGGGAAGTAAACATGCCTGATATAATAGGCTTATAGGAATGTTTTTCTTAATAGGAATGTTTTTATGCTTCCTTGATCCATTGATGTTCGGAGGAAGGAATAAAACCTCTAGATCTGGATGTAGTATTGTGAGGGCTTCAGCACCATATCCAGAGCATTATTGAGAAAAGGAACAAATTTAAAGCTCAGGTTTTGCTCTTCTAAGCAATGCCTGACTTCTTTGACGAATGCGTTTTCAAACGCGCCATTAAAGAGGACTCTTGCAATGCAGTTGATGCTCTGCAGTGTACCACATATAACTGAAATTTTCACACTGGACAAATTACATGGAGACAATTAAGAAAATGTGTACATGCAAAATTATATCTGGCATGGGTTTCTGTATTTATGTGGCAACAGCCATAAAGCTTTTCTTTCCTCCGGATATTTCCACCAGTATGATGGTAGATTATGATCCCTCCTAATGATATTTCATTGCTTTAGCACAGTAGTGGATCACATATTACAATTTTACAATCACACATTACTGTCTTTGTCTAACTTACTGCAATGGGTTGCTTTAAAAATATGCCCCTTTTTTTCCTTTTCAGTATAGAATTTTGGTGCCAAGGTTCATGCAAAATGCTAAGTTTGTGTAATTTTCTAATGCTCTTTACAGTGAAAACAGATTTTTATAAGAACCATAGCCTAACAAGTGAGAAGTCTGCGTGTTTTGTATGGGGGGGGGAAGGTGGCATTCGATAAAATGTTGAAACAGTCAACAAATGTTTCTCTTCAAAGTTGCCAACAATCTGCAAATAATCTCTGAATTCATCGACAAGTTCACAACTTTTCAGCAGGAGAAATCCTGATAAAATCAGAAACAGTAATCAGAAAGTACCTCAAAAAGAAACAGTAATCAGAAAGTACCCCAGAAAGAAAAATAATCAAGAATTTGCATATTTTACAGGTCTGTAAATCTATTGTTGAAACTGTTGATTGCTCCTTTAAAATGGTTCATAAATATCTCTAAATGAGTTTCAGTAACAATTTTATTTTCTTCATTTTTCAGTTGTTGAAAACTTTTAAATATTTGAAATTCTAGCTAAATTTTAAGCTACTATAATTCCAAAAATCTATTAAAAGGAAATAAGAAATGGGTGTTTTAACCACGATTATATATATATATATATAAAAGTTTCTGTTAACTGCTAAAATTTCTAAAATGCCACTAAGACCAATTTATTTTTTATAGATTCCTAATGACTAATATAGGAGCTTTCCTGATTGTGCAAAACAAATATTTTCATAATCAAATCAGGATATTCTTATCACTTTTGCTGAAACAAACATTCATATTCTTATTTTGGTGCATTAAATGTTAGCACACACAAAATTTCTTAAAGTGTTAAAAAATTTATAAATATGGTAATAATTATTTTCTATACATGATGCTTATTTACATGTAATTTATACTTATAACTGCACAGTTTGAGGAAAGTGGTGATGTCAACATTTCCTATGCCCTGCTGACAGACTTATCCAAGTTTTAAATATAATAATAATAATAATAATTTTATATATATACACAGATTATAAAAATTGAAATAAAATAACATATTTTTAGAATTTATTTCAGTTTTCATACAATGAAATGTGACAAAATTTTGAAATAAAAATTTGTTTTGTATAAGCTGAAAATAATAGAAAATTCTCTTACGCAGGTTACATAAATTTGTGTGGCCTCTTTACCTATGTGACTAATTTGGCATTAGAAAAATAATACATGATAAGGAAAAAGGATTTAAAGAAAAGAGAAATTTTGCTGTTAGTATATCCAAAATTTTAATTTTAGTACCTTTTAAAGCCATAATAATTTAGTTGTGCATGCAAAGAATTTAATGGCAGAATTAACATAATTCAAATAAAGGAAATCCTTAGCATTGGAAATTTGATAAACAATGTATTTATTTTCTCTTTCATTTAAAAGCATAAATATTACTTTGAAAGTAACTTTGGATACCTTTTTTCTTAAACATAAAATTCTTTGATATACTTTTACAAAAAGAGTTCTTTATTTCCTCAAAAAATGTTTTCTTTCCAATATACTTTTGCCTTCCTCTGACATTTTCTTTCCACGTTATATTAAACATATTGCATGTATATTGCAATGTAATATAATATTGCATATATTAAAAAGATATTTCCTATTCAATAAATTTTATTTAAAAATTTTTTTACGATATGAGCGTTGTTTAGTTATCTATGTGTAAACAATCAAGGTTTAATATAAAAATTAGAAAAAGCGACTATTAACAAAACTTAAAAAGACATGGCCTACCAGCAAAATTCACTAACCCACCCAATCTTTGGTTCACTCAATCTGAGGTACATAGTTTATCAAAATTAGGTAATGGGAAATATAAATCTAACTATAATGCAGATAATTCTAATTTAAGTACGTACTGTGCAAATTCTGAGATCTACTATCATTGGGTTCTGGATTTAAGAGGTTTCCAAATTGTAGATCTAGTCAGGACATGGCAAAATTGCAGCTTCAATTATTGTTTATAGCAGGTCAAATAATGTTAACCACCCCGGAAAAGGATCAGTGTCAGAGCTGATGTTGCCACACTGGGTGGAAAAAAATTCTGGAATTTAGAGGAGCACTGAACAGCAAAAATTAAGGATGACAAAATTTTTAGAATTTAGTAGAGGCACTAGGTAGCAGAATTTAGGGGTGACAAAATGTTTAAAATTTATTGAGGCTGTGGGCCGCAGAATTTAAAGGTAGCAAAATTTTTAAAAATTAGGGAGGCACCGGGCAGCAGAATTAAAGACTTACAAAGATTGTACAGGGTGGCAAATGCATAGTACTGGTCATGCCTCTGCAAACAACCCCTCAAGGACCAAAAGTGTGATTCTAGGCAATATCAGTACAACACCAATCAATGTACTGGTGCTATAGTGCAACTCCCTAGCCTGGAGGTGTTTAAAAGCAACATGCAGGAATATCAGTTACTCAGGAGAAAAATCACATTTACGGCAAACTTGCTTCTTTTTATCGAGTATATTATATTCTCCATTCTACATTTTGTAAGAGGGATAAATTTTTTCCTTCTTATTTATTTATTAATTTATTTTTTGGTTGGTAGTCCAGACATTCAGATATTAGACATCTAGATTTTGAACACTGCAGAACATATGATATAACACAACCTTTATACTCAAGCTTCTTAGAGATAAATAGGTAGATAGTCATATAATTTGGGAGATGCAATAAAATTTAAGCTTGCAACTATAAAGCTTGAAGTACAGAATAACAATTGGCAATATCTAAGCAACTTTTTGATTGACAAAGATTAAAATTCCGTTGAATCTATTTTATATGATAGTTGAAATCTGAGGGGTTCTAGTAACAAAAACTAGGAGTTTCAGGGAGATTTTCATATTAAACGGTAGCATCATTTCAAAAGAGCTTCAAATTGACTTGGATTTACTTTATAATGTATGGTTCAGGTTATTCAAGCATTCTGATGGAAAATATATTGATATTTAATTAGATATTCTAAATTTTATGTTCTTCAGTTAATTTCATTTTGCAATTTTCTTAAACTGTTAAACTGAGGACTCCATCTATCAAAGAACTTTTAAATATGATGAAAATAAAATTAATAATTAATGTACATCGTAGTGAATGGTTAAACCTAGTAATGTACCGTAAATTGATGTAAAATGCAATTATATACAAATGTTAACTGATTAAACATTAGTTGATTCTTCATATGAAGTTCTACAAATGGCTACAATACATTACAATTATACAGATCAAATAAAATTTAACAAGAAAAACAACGTTGAAAATAATCAGAGGTGAGGGAATGAAATCAGCACAATTTAAATTTCATTAATTCAATAAATTTCATTTATTGCTGAAAAAGAATTTTATTAGTAAAGGCTAAAAATAAAAAACTGGATGATTTGGTTATCTACCAGGGCAAAAGATGAAAAATTGGAAGCATTGGTCGCCAGGTTATATCAATACAAAGGTATTAAAAATTATGAATTCTCACAAATTTTTCATAAGAACATGCAGCTAAAAAGAAATCATTTAAATGTATTAGGAAACAAAAGTTAATCACATACTTAAAGTCTTTTCCTTGTCGAAGAGCTGTAAATGCAGTAGCACATGCCTTAAACGGATGGCACACCTTTCCAATTTCCGATACTCCAATACTAGAGATGGAGGATAAGATTTAATAAAATCGACAGGAAAACATTAAGCATATGAATTAATTTCTTAAAAATTAACTATATATAAAAATTGCAGCAATCTTAAAAAAAAAAAAAAAAAAAAAAAAAAAAGTCACTTTTAAAGTTATTTGACTTATTACGATAAGGCATGTACATATTGCATATCTGGGCTTTATAATGGATTTCACACAGGGAAAAAAATGCAATCTGAAGCATGAAATATATATGTCTGCAAGAAAATATCTCTTAAAACCCCTCTCCAGATACTCAACAGAAGTCCAGGCAAAAGAACACACTAAAAGAAAATAACGGCCAAAAAAGCCTTTTTTAAAATTCAGTGTGCTTGTTTTAAATGTTTAAAATGCCAGTGAGATGTGATACGAGGAATGTTATTGGATCTTATTGCAAACTTCATTCAAAGAACAAAAGCTGCACTCTAACTGTAAAAAGACATAAACTTCAAATTAATAACACCACTGCACCCAAGTAGCAGAGCAACGTCGTTTGGTCACGGGTCATGTTACAAAAACATTGCAATACGTCGTCTTTAAGACACCCTGATGTCTGCGAAACTCCGCTGTTTTGCAACCATTGCAAAGACGTCTTTGCAGGTGAGGTTTATGTTGAATAGACATTGTTATTGTGTCTTTCACAGGTTATATTTTGGTTGTGAAAGCATCATATCATGACGTCTTAATGTTCTCAGAATTTGACCTTTTTGCAACAGTTGTTAAAATGTCGTTATTATGTCCTTGCGTTGCATATTGATTTATGCAGAAAAGTAAGTTTAGTAATTAATGTATTTTTCTTCTTTTTTAAAATTTTGTATTCCTTGTATTTTCTAAAGTTTAAATATTTTATCATTTCCTGAAAACCAGAAGATAATACAATTTTTTCTCTTTAGACTAAATATGCATAATTAATAATAGCCTTAATTAGTTTCAGTACTTTAAACTATATTTTTTAATAAATTAAATTCTAAGTTACGATTATTTAAGATTTTATTATTTTCCTTAATCCTTTAGCATGTAAGTGAGAGTAATTATGAAAGTGGTTATTATAAATATATAACAATAATAGTAGGTTTCATGCAAATAAAACTCAATCATACATAAATAAAAGTAAAACTATATATGTGCGTAAAAAAAAGAACGTTTCTGATTATAACAGCATTATCACATTTGTTTCTGTTAAATCTCAGAGATATTAAAAATTGCCCCTGTCGTGATAAATTAGGAAGCGGTTCTTACAGTAACATAATCAGTATTTTACCTGAACTCAAGTATAAATTTATTTGCATTTCATAGTAAAAAATATAACCATTAACTTCTACAACTCCAAGATATGCAAATGAAAGACTCTATAAAGTAGTTAATAAACATGATCAAAAATATTTCATACAAAAATATATCTAAATCTAATAACAAAAAAGTTCTATATTCATATCTAAAATGAAATAATAACCTAACACATAACATACACAGCAGCATTATTTAAGAAAAAAACACGAACTAGCAGTGTTTGAAAGTATAAATAGCAGAAGGAAGGTAACAGAACTAAAATTTCCAATTAATAAAAAATTATTTGTGTTTTTAAAATAGTAAGGAATTAAAAGTGAAATAATTATGGATTGCAGTATTTACTAGTAATGCTGATGTTTCTTAACATCATTTCTTTCGATCATATGTAAATGTATTTACTTATTTTTAGTTTCTACATTTTAGAATAGTGGTAGATTACAATGATCATTTCATGCACTTTTAATAATCAATAACTTTCCTTTCGATACTTTCGATTAGAAATCATTTAAATAATATAGTATACAATAGTAAGCTAAGTACGTTAAAGTAAGCTCTTCGTTAAATAGCACAGTGATGAAACTTTTTGTTTGTATTTATTATGAATTCCTTTGTTATCACAAGCACATAAAAAGTAAGCGAAGAAAATAGAATATACTTAAATTTAATAAAGAATAAAACTTAATTTCCAACATTCATTTATTGAGATGATCTAATAGACATACTTAATGGCAATATTTAAAAAAATGTGAATTACACGATGTTTGGAAGAATAGATATTAAACAAAAAGTAATAAAACTGCAATTTACAATCAATAAAACATATTTAGTGTTTCTTAATATTACACTATTAAATATGACATAATTATAGATTACAATATTTCATAGTAATGCTAATATTTCCTTAACACTATTTCTTCGATTATATGCAGATGTCTGTCCACATTTTTATACATTAAGTCTGAGCACCAAACTTTCACTATGATGATATAAGATATAACAGTTAGGACGTTATAACCGAAGCACAACACTAATCTGTGTATCCAAATATTGCACCGCTAGAACCACTGAAGATTGGAGAACACCACTATATAATTTTAATCATCGGAAACATATAAAACACAAAAGCAGAACACTATTTCAGTCTATAGACGTTGCATCAGATATTTTGTAAACAACATATCCAAAATCCAAAAAAATTCTTTAAAATTTTGGTGTGGTCTTGTCCAGCAGATATTTACAAACAAATAAGCACAAATTCCCCATTAGAACAATGATTTCTCCTCAATTCAAAATAAATTGGCCATGAAGCTCTCCAGTATTTAATTACAACGGTGAATTAGATAACCGTGAAGAAAAATTTCCTGGAGTCTTAATGAAATTACGTAGTTAGTAATACGTTTGAATTTGGCACCTAACCCAAATGCCCAAACCTTGAGATGGTCGTTTATATAAGCATCCATAACATCGGTTGAACAGCAATGCAGTGTTAACTTTCAGCATTGCATTAAACCTTTCGACAATTCTGCTGATAATTTAATAGAATCTTTTTAAAATTGCCTAGAAGAATTATTTCAACTGAATACAATTAAGAACAATATTCGCAAGATTATATTTACATAAAAATACTTATCTGGCTCACTAAAACATTTGTAATGTCAATGTTGCCAAATCCCGAGTTTACCGTATTCTAGGATTAAACCAAGCAAGCATTTTTGAATGCATGGTAATGGACAAAAACATTAAAACATAACAAACATTTCCTCACAATTTTTATAGGTAATGAGTTTTGTATTTTTGTCCACAGTTTCTCTAATTTTGATGTCAACATTTATTAGTAATTTATCAAAGAAATTAATTTTGTTGTTTTCCATGAAAAGTGTTAATATTTTTTTTTCTTTTCCATTAATTTTTCTGTTCCGCTTCTCCCAACTGTCGGTGAGATTTCTGTCATATATATTAGACAGCCATTAAATATTCATGAATATGCATCGTCTTTTAACATTGGATGTTTTCTCACAGTTCTTAAAATCGCCCCATTTTTATTCCGTGTATAAATCTTTACACACAATCATATCTTCGTGAAAATCGTATTTTTTGCATTGTATGCGGTAAAATGTTTCATATTATGTCAGCATAATTATTCAAATAAATTCGTCCTTACTTCAAAAATAATAAATAAAGTCATATTTCAGCAGTGAAATAATTGCTAACATGTGATTTGCATTGATTTCAGAAATATGATTTTTTAAAATAAGTAAAATGCATAACTTAATAACTTATTTTATAGATTAGTTTCATTTTAAAATATTTTGCTATAATATTTATAAAAACATATTTTAAGTATTAATTATTTTAACAAAATTTTAAACAATAATTTAGAACATATTTTTAGTACTAATTAAATTTATTAAATCAAAAGTATTCATATTAAATTTATATTTTATTAGATGATTCTACCTTAGATTAATATATTTAGATGAAATAAAGTAATGAAACATTGCAAAATAAAACTTATGTGAACTTCAGATTCTTGAAAGGGCAGATTTAGTCTCTTTTCATTCTAAAAGTAATGCTGATGAGCTATGAAAAAGATACTAAAACGACCACGTCTAAAAGTGGTCATATCATGACGTTTCAGCGACGTTGACAAATTGCCAAGATACAATCGCAAATATTTTTCATCTTCGCTACGTTGTAAAGACTTCGTAAAAGTTACCACGACCACTTTGCAACCTCTCGGACCAGTTTGCAGCGTCTTTGCTTCGTCATGTGCTACTTGGGCAGGTTTAGGAAATGTAAGTGGTATTGGGAGACTTTTACATATCTTTGTATTTACAGTAGTGCTAAAATAATTTTTACATGCTTTATTCCAAAGTTAAAAAGTAACTACAATTCAAGCATCTGTCAAAAGTACTTTTTACTTTAATGGGCACTCCCTATTCACGGACATTTTCTGAAATTCTTGATGTAGAATAGGGCACCCCATACACACTCTCTTATAACAAATCCTTGGTCCCATGAGTGTCTGTTAACAGCAAGTTCAACTTTAATTCCTATAATTAATGGATTGTTTAGAAATATCTGTAATAAAATCCCTGCTTATCTATACAGATTAATAATATAATATAAGAAAAAGGAATTTTTTGCATCTTTTATATGTGTTTCTGTCAACAGCAAAATGAGTGTTTGGCAAAAGGATATTTAAAAGGCTTAAAACGAATTTTTTATATCTGTATAATCTGAAGTATGTAGAACCATATTAGTTTTAACCATTAAAAATTGTTTTACTTATTACATATCATCGAAGATTTACTATCAGCAATTTTTTACTCACTATTACATTCAGTAATGTGAAAACCAAAATCTCTTTTTGGCACCATGCAAATTTAATTGAATAATCTTGCACTGTTAAAGTCTCAAACATGTCCAAATATCAGAACTTAGCAGCACAATGCACAGATATGATTATAGATAATTTTGACATATTTTTCGGAATTAAAATAATAATTATGCACTACTTTTAAACATACATACAAAAAGAACACTTTTCTAAAAAAATTAAGAACTATACCTATTAAAGTCACTATATGTACAGTAGTGAATAAATTCCTTTTGAATGCCTTCATCTTTAATATAATTCAAACCACACTGGGTAGAGAACTTCAGCAATTCTTCAGTTTGGGAAGGATCATCAACTGAAAATTTACCCTAAAAATAATTTAAATACTGATCCAAACTGTTTAAATATCACATCAAAGAAATATATTAATGAAAGATATAGTATACACAAATTGAAAATTTTCTCTAAAAATATTACAATATCCAAAAATTAAGAGTATTACATAAGTCTGGTAACATCCAGTTAAGATGAACATTAGAAGATAATTATGTGGAGCTAATTTAAGTTTCATGAAAAATGGATAATATTCATTGTTATTAAATGATTTTTAACACATAAATTGCTAAAAAAATGACATGAATTTATTATAGGGCTGTTACAAGAAAAAAATTAACTAGCTCACATTTGAAAGTGCAACAAATACTTTCAACAATAAAAAACTGGAATATCTTTATTGAAAAAAATAAGGTAATTTTTACAATAATAAATATAAAGAATAATGTTAATCACCAAAGCAAATATTACCATATATACCCGTGCATAAGTCGAGATATTTTGGACAAAAAAAAGACTTCAAAGTGTGTGGGGGGGGGGAGTCGACTTATATGCGGGGCCATAAAAAATTAAAAGAATCAGAAGTTCAAAAATTTCTTTATATAATGCAGTTGTTTTCTTCCTGCACACAAATTGGACGACTTATCAAATAAGTCACTTACTTGAAGTAATTTCATGACTTAAATTATGTGACAAACTAATCACAGAGTTTCATACTTTAACTAGAGTAAGTTTCGATTAACGCGATGCTTTTGCCTGCTGGATGCTGATTGGTTGTTCGGGGGCAGAAAACTCTTCGGTTTAACGTCCAGATTCGACAGATTCTTTGCTAGAATCACGTGCCCCACTGTTAAATTTTACTGGCTTTTGTCAGTACGTTTTTGTTTCCCTTCTTTTTTCTGTTAATATGGCTGATTTATTGGTAGTTAAACAGAAATGTCAGTCATACGCTGCTGGATTTAAGTTAAAAGTTATTTCTTTCGTGGAAGAGACTAATAACTGTGCTGCTTTTTGTCAGTTTGGGGTTGACGAGGTTTGGGCAACATTAAAAAGCTCGATATTACATTAATTGCTCAATGGGTTAAAGATGCTTGGAACAAAATACCCTCTGAAATGATTATAAAATCATTTAACAAATGTTGTATTAGCAACAAACTAGACGGCATGGAAGATGATGCTGTTTTTGAAAGTGAAAATGATGACGAAGGCTCTAGATTGTAACAATACAGAGTTCAATACTGAAAATATGTATGATGATGAGCCAATGACGACAGAAGAGTTCTATGAAATGTTTGGCGAATCTGACCAAGAATCGTACGTTGAAGGATTTTGATTTTGTTTATTTACCAAGGTATTTTTTATTGCATATTTACTTTTTTTCTCAGATGATTTTGAATAAATGTAGTACTTAAAAAAAATTTTTCGAAGTTTCTCGATCGATTTCGGAAGTGGGGGGTCGACTTATACGCGGGTTTCTTATTTTCTACGAATTTTTTATGTGGAAGTGGGGAGGGGGGTCGACTTATACGCGGGTATATACGGTAATAAACTTTTTGGTTCCAGCAAAATCCAGTACACTTAAAAATTTTAAATATCAGCTTAAAAAACAAAACGTATTATAAGGTTGGAATAATGCATTAAAAAAATATATAGCAATCCAAGCCCACAGGAAAATGTAACACATAAGTTCCTTTTTCTAGTTCAGCAGCTGATTTCAAATTTAATGATATATTTGAACTTAATAATTCCTATGCTATGCAAGAAAGAAATTTAGCTTCTATTAAAATCAGCATTTAATTAAATTATACATAATCCTTCAAATATATGACTTAATTATGTAAAGTGCTGCACATTACTCATAAATTCAGTCAACTTGTAACGAAATTACATTTCTAGCACTCATCATAAATTACAATAATTCAAATAAATGTAAGCAGCACTAAATTAATCCAATTTTAAAACTGTTTCCCTGCAAATTTCTTCATAAATTTAGTGGAACAGAAAAACTCAGACTGAAAATTCTGAAATATTTATTAATAATTTTGTTCCTTTGCTATTTCTATTACCTTCAAATACATCTTAAACTATTTGTTACCCATAACTAAATAGCACAGTATACCTCTTGCACCATATGTTACTTAATCACTGAATCAGTTACCACTTTTTTTAAGCTCTCACTGACAAGTAAAGCAGGTCAACATTTTCATAATCACTCATAGTATTGAATATGTCATTAAAGTGTATAATTGTAAGATGTTTATGACATTATAACTTTCTTTTTAAAATTTCAAATAAAGTATATTTTGGAACTACAAAGTACAAAAATTCCAGCAGTATTTTCATTTAAATTCCTTAGGAAACAAAAACATATAAAAATGAAATATGTTAAATATCAAGCTATTATTTTGTTTTCTGTACAGAAATTCAGCAATACTTTTACAAAATTCCTTTATTTGGGGAAAGGGAGAAGTCAGAACATTACAACTGTGCCCCTATACTTGCAAGTAAGGCATTTGAAGACCTACTTTAGTTACATAAAATCACAGAGACTAGATATAACATGACACATACACATATATACATGAACAGGAAAAGGCTTAATTGATAAACTGTGTACATTAAAACATTGTAATATTAAAAGAGCAATTAAAATAAAAAGAAAGGCTTCAGATTTTAAATTACATCTGAAGGGGCCTTTTTTAATGCTTTGTGTGTTACCTTTATTTATTAAATATCATGTTCTACCTATTCAAACCATAAAATTCAGTTCAACAGCAATATAACAAAATAATTTTGAAATCGTTTAGTTTTTTAATCAAAAATTCGTTGAAGTGTACAAAATATGAAATTGATAACAAAACAAATTTCAAATTAAAATTAGGGCTTCCACATGCGCATATTCTATGGAAGATTATGTTATTTAAATTTTGATGGCTCTAGGTACCGTTGTTTTATCACAATGCGAGAAACATACATATATTTGTGCAGATTCTTCATTATTTAATTTTTTAAAATATAATACAAGGTGATAATATTTGGTGGCAACAATTTGAAAAGTGATTTGCCGTTTACAGTTTTCAACGCAAAATGCAAAAACAAAATTATTAGTCTTTCAGGGCAAATTGCCCCTTTGGAATAAAAAATATAATGTATGTTTCATATAGTATATTTCTTTTCTTGCATGTATGAAAGTAAGGTGGTTCTAATATTTTAAACTGATCCTCTAGAGATAATACAGCACTAAATAGATACAGTACTGTACTTATCATACAAATGAAGATCATATTATTCCATTAAAAGTGTTGTATAAGCAACAAGATATTAATTCAAATCATTCATGTATACATGCACTTAGGGTGATAATTGCTGCATATGTGAACAAAAAGTGTAGATGCGAGCATTTAGGCTATTTAATTCACTGATGTAGATTCTTGTTTGTTTGCAGTTTTTTCAAACCACAAATTATGCTATATATTTCTTCAATTTTCAAAAAGGAAGGAGAAAAATTCCTTTTTAGGGTGAAAAGGCTGTAATAAGTCAGGGATGATGATTGGCTATGGATACTAAAAAACAGGGGAAAAAAAAAAAAAAAAAAAAAAAATGTGCACGACTACATAAAAGTTATGAATATTAAATGTAAATAAATTAAAGCAAGATGGAACAAATTAGCCCTTTTTACAGAAATGAGTACCATTATGTATGACTTATTTTTCTCCTTTAAACCTTAAAAGAAATTGCATTTTAAAATCTTTTGTAAATTTAAAATATTTAATATGATAATAAATATTTGCTATTCATTAGAATCTTTCATATTAAACATAGATTATTACTATTTTAAACTTCAGAAGCTAATCTTCCTGCAAAATAGTTGTACTCATTTCAATATAAAGGACTAATTCTAAATTTTTACATTAATTGAAATATGATTAAAAATACGGAATTCTGATCCATATATGTTTTGTATTAAAATATACCAACAATCTTAATATTTATGAAACACTAAATCAACATTTAAAGATATATCAGTTACTAATAAAATAATAAAGGTAACAATGATATTAATATGATTTTACAATTAGGTTAAGAACCTTAAAACAACAGCAACCTCAGATTAGCATTGATTTTGAGGGTAATCAAATAGGTCTTTCTTTTTCAGACGCAAAATATTATTTTGTTTGTTCAATAGAGTTTTCATTAAAATTTTTTATTTAAAATCTTCAATCTAAGGTTTTTTAAAAATTTATATTTTAACTAATGAGTTCATTTCAACTGTAAAATAATTTGCTAAATGAAAGGTATGAACTTCTTTAAAACACAATGGCTTAAAAAGTACATTTAATAAAATGGTAATTTTACCTGAAGTAAGAGAGCAATGGCAACACTTAAAGATACACATGCTGAAACACATCTCTCATCTTGATGTGTAGCTAAGCATATTCGTACGGAATTTGAAGTAACTTCATTTAAATCATGAAAACGAGGTATACCTGTAAAAAAGAAAAATAGATGTCTATGATAATAATAAAAGAAAAAAAAATACTAGGAATAAATAACAGTAAAAGAATGTGTGAAAAGTTTTTCAATCACTTTGAATTATGCAATTTTTACATTTATTTTTGTAATGCTGAAGATTATGTGAAGTTTGTAAATAGCTCCTTAGACAGAATCAGTTACAAGTATTTATTAAATAATTAGCATGGTTTAATTGCATTTACGTAATATTTTTGGTATTTTGTGATCATCTGGTGCCCCTCCAGTTCTCCCCCCTGCAGTGAAAAATTATTAATTTACTGATAATTATGAGAATTAGCATAAATGTTTTTGGAGGGGCTATTATTATAACTCACAGGTACGGTTATGCTCATAAATAACAATAGGAAAACTTAATATACAAGAAACAAAAATTGTATAACACAAAATGAAAACATAAATCTCTATGGTCGATATTTATATTTTTTGCAGCCAGTGGAAATCTTCAATAATGGCCTTCAAAATTTCTACGAAACAGTCTCTTGTCTACATAGACACATGTAGACATGAGATGTACTTAGATGCATGTAGGCACAAGAAGTTTTTAAATTTTTAATCTTAGACATATGTGTGGTATATGCATGTGCGGGTTGGCTGTTGTGGTGTGTATACTAAAAGATAGTCAAAAACATGGCAAATTTATTGAATATTGAAATTGGGGTGTGCAGATAACCAGAAAGTACCATATTTCTTTATATTACCTTCAATAAATACTTATCATTTTCGTTTCTGTTTAAATACCCCCTCCCCCCCCAAAAAAAGCCTCAAACAACGTACATTAAGATACAATAACACACCGAACAAATATTAATTTAGAAGTCAAACAATAAAAATCAGCGTTATATTTTTAAAATTTCACAGGACTAGTTTCAATGGTTTTACCAAAACATCATCCTCGGCTGCAAGAGCGCAAATGAACAAGATAAGATATAATGATTAGATAAGATATGATAACAAAGCCTGGACAGGAGATAAGCTACTGGCACCATCTGTTGATGAAACCAGAACTAAAACATAATTTCTTTAAAGGCTGAAGGCAAAGATGGATTGGTATTAGGGTCGTTAACTAGAACAGAAAGATTTTTTTTAATGTGAAATGCCTCTAGAAAATCCAGTTCACCAATGGAAGATGTTTTTTGAATAATTTTGGCAGCAGAAGACTTTTGTGTTTCCTTTTTTCTAACATATGCCTCATGTTCCTTAATGTGAAATTTTAAGGCTCTCTTAGTTTGGCCAATGTAAATTAAACTGCACTGGCAAGAAATCCTGTAAATACCCCAGGAATTCATATCCGGAATGGGGTCCTTGAGTATGGAACTCAGAATTTTATTGATGGAAGTGTGGCGTTCCGACAGATACTTCAACTTCTATTCATGAGATGGCGCCACGTGTAAAATCCAGTTCTTAATCGGAGCAGCAAAGCGACATCTTTACTCACTCAGACTTCTCGACACACAACGGTACGCGAAGGTAGCATGAACTGTGTTCCGAGCTCAGTGTTGATCTCTTCAATGTAATTTAAATTGTAATTTAGTACTTAATATATTCTTTTGTTATAGGAGATTGTCTACTCTTATTTTCTTTAATTATATCATGCATTAAGCACACACGACCACCAAAAGTGGTGACCTTTTGACTGAGCACGCTACTGACAATGGATTTTCAACGACCCTAAGCCACGTGCATCCAAGGCATTCTGAAGAACTGACTAAAAATAACAACGAATATGGACATTAAACGTATGCTACAACGTACCCATTCAATTATTTCTAGAAGTATTGATATATATTGCTTGTTTTTTTTCAAAGTCGTGCATATCATCGCAAGGAGCTTCAGCAAATCAAATCATCAATGTGATCTGTTCCGTTCCGCTGACTTCGCCGTCGTGCAATAATTCTTTGATCATTCAACTTTTGTGACAAATGTGCTACAACAGTGATTTTCGCTGAATGTGCTACATCAGTAACTTTTGTGCAACGTGCTACGGCAAAATTCTTCCCTCAGTGTTCGAAAGTAGTGAATTTTTTTCCCACGTGCTACAGGAGTGATTTCCTTTTTCCTTCGAAAGTGCCTTAGCAGTGTGAAGTGGTGATTTTGTGTGTGCGCAATACAAAATGAACGCATCATTTTTTTTTTTCTCAAATAAGGGTTTCTTTTCAAATGCATTTCGGTAAAATATTATTTGTGTGTGTAATTGCTGACCCCTTGTGTTTGTTATCCTGTATTATTTGTGTGTGTATCGTTATGTAAATTTTTTCTGCATGGTTAAAATATTTATTGTTATCATGGTAAAAATATTGTGCTACAATATTTGTGCTGATAAGTGTTTATTAATTAAAGTGAAAATTATTTATCAGTATGCTACCAGAGCCACAAATCACACGCGTTGCGGTGAAGCCACCGCCTTTCTGGAAAAATAATCCTTCATTGTGGTTCGCTCAGATCGAAGCACAATTTTCTATCGCTCGCATTAGTGAGGATTCTACAAAATTCAACCATGTAGTTGCAGCAATTGAGTCTGATATTCTGAATTCAGTGCATGACTTAATTCTCAAACCACCTGATTGTGATAAATACTCCAAACTGAAACAGCGGCTCATTGAAATCTATTCAGAAAGTGAATCTTCAAAAATACGTACTTTACTACAAGGACTTGAACTTGGAGATCAGCGACCTTCATACTTGCTGTCACGAATGCGTGATCTGGCAGGAAGCCATTTTAGTGACGACTTGTTGAAGTCACTATGGCTTTCGCGTCTCCCTAATAACATACAAATAATTCTTGCTGCTTCCAATGAAGATCTAACCCGTTTAGCAGCAATGGCTGACAAAATTAATGAACTTGTTACTCCAGCTTATGTCAGTGCTGCTAATGCTGCACCTTCCAGTTCATCCCTCGAACAAACAAGTGGCTGAATTGACCAAAAAAGTATCTGAACTCTCTACAAGTCTTCATGCTTCACGGCGGAGATACAATCGATCAAATCAGGGCCCACGTAATAAATTTCGTGCCCGAAGCAGGAGTCAATCTCGTCATAATACTCGAACGCAGTACAAAGAACCCACAAGTGGCATATGTTTTTATCATATGAATTTTGGCGCTCAAGCTCGCAAGTGTGCCCCTCCATGCACTTTTGAACAAGCGGGAAACTAAATGGGCGGTCTTCTGCTGGCCAACAGAATGTCCGCCACATCGACAGAATAGTACTGGCTGATCGTTCAACTCAGTTATGTTTTCTAGTAGATACTGGAGCTGACATATCAGTGCTCCCGAGAACTAAAACAAATGCTCACCAACTTAATAAACTTGTACTGTATGCAGCCAATGGTACCCAAATTGCAACCTACGGCACCAAACTATTGACACTTGATTTAAACTTGCGCCGGACTTTCAACTGGCCTTTTATTATTGCGGATGTAACTCAAGCAATTATTGGTGTTCGACTTCTTGACACATTTCCACCTTCTAGTGGATGTCAAGAATAATTGCTTAATTGATGCTACAACTCAGCTGACATCACAGGGCCAAGCTTCTCACATATCGAACGTACCTACCAACATAAGTGTTGTATCGGGCAGCACACACGGTTTCATCGGTTATTAGCAGAATTCCCTGACATTTTAAACCCATCCAAATCAGGGCAGCATACTCATCAGCCAGAAGTGTATCATCACATTGAAACACATGGCCCACCTGTATTTTCCAAGCCTCGTCGTCTTTCTCCAGAGATGCTAAAAGCTGCTCGCAAAGAATTTGAATTCATGCTAGCACAGGGAACCATTCGCCCATCTAAAAGTCCATGGGCCAGTCCACTTCACATGGTTAAAAAGTCTAATGGTGACTGGCGGCCTTGTGGAGATTATCGTCGACTTAATGCCGTCACAGTCCCTGACAGATATCCAGTCCCACATATCCAAGACTGTACCCATCTTTTTCATGGAACAAAACATATTTTCTACCCTCGATCTTGCCAGAGCATATCATCAGATCCCAGTGCATGCTGAAGATGTGCCCAAGACCGCAGTGACTACACCATTTGGTCTCTTTGAGTACTTATATATGCCATTTGGCCTTCGCAATGCTGGCCAAACATTTCAGCGTTTCATACACCAAGTACTGTCTGGTCTCGATTTCTGCATCCCATATTTTGATGATATCCTGGTTGCATCTACAGATGCGGAAGAACATTTTCAACATCTGCGTCAGATTTTCACTCGCCTTAAAGATCATGGATTAAAACTAAATCCATCCAAATGTGTACTTGGTCAACCCTCAGTTTCCTTTCTTGGATGTCTTATCACCCAGAATGGAGTTAAACCTTTACCGGAAAGAGTCAAAGCAATTAACGACCTACCTCAGCCCAAAACCATCTCTGAACTGAAGCGTTTTCTAGCAATGTTAAATTTCTACCGACGCTTTCTGCCAAATGCCGCAAAAACACAAGCCTGCCTACATGAGTTTCTGAAGAATAGCAAAAAAAAAAAAAAAAAAAAAAAACGATCAACGAGCTGTCCCTTGGACTGAATCTGCATCTGCAGCATTCGTGCAATGCAAACACGATCTGGCAAATGCAGCCACACTTTCTTATCACTCACCTAGTGATCAGCTCTCTATAATGGTAGATGCATCTGACACGGCCATAGGAGCAGTGCTTCAAGCCCATACCACTAAAGGACTTTCCCCAATGGCATTCTTCTCCAGAAAACTTACTACTGCAGAAAGGAAATACAGCACATATGACAGGGAGCTACTTGCTGTGTACTGTGCTGTTAAATACTTCCGGCACAACTTGGAAGGACACGACTTCATCATTTTCACCGATCATCGACCATTAACCTTCGCTTTTAGAAAAAAACTCTGACTCATGTTCTCCTCGTCAGCTTCGACATCTGGATTTCATCGCCCAGTTTAGTACAGATATCAGATATGTCTCTGGTACTGATAATTGTGTCGCTG